TTTATTCTAACTCATTCTACTTTGGGAATATCGATGACGACATTTTTCTTAAGGTGGGTAGATTGTGAAACCTTTTAAATTTTTAAGATTTTTGTTGGTTGACCTAGAGAAGTCCAAATGACAAGACATCTTCGTTAGAATATTTATAATATTGTGTTTTAGATTTCCTAATTTTTTCATAATTTTTGGACATTCTCAAATTTTTTTAAGAAATCGACACCTGTCGATACAAGTGGTGTTTTTGGGATTATTAGGTGTCCGTTTTACAAATTGATTTCATCAGAATATTTTAAATAATTTTTTAATTTATGATTTTTTTTGAACACTGCCGTTGCCAGGTCCCAAGTCCTGGATGAGAAAAGTGGAGGGTTGCGTTAGGTAGTCGACAGCCAGCGTAAAACTTGTCGAACAAAAATGACATGAATCCTTTAAGAAATTGTGTTAATGCTAGGGCGTCCCCTGGAAGCGACGCGCTGTATGGCCTGAATACAGTGACAAGTGTGCAAGGGCCGCTGCACCGGCGCCCGGGTGCAGTGTTAAATAGGCAAGGGTTCCCGCATCAAGGACGGATGTGGGCAAAGAAGCTAGTCCATGATACTAAAATTAGGATAGGAACTTGGAATATAGGTTCCCTTACAGGTAAATTAATGGAGTTAATAGATATTATGATTCATAGGAAATTAAATATTTTATGCATTCAGGATACTAAGTGGGTTGGAGAGAAGGCCAAGGAAATCGATAGTTTAGGATTTAAACTTTGGTATTCGGGTAGGAGTCGTACTAGAAATGGTGTAGGTGTCATTATAGATAAGAGTTTAAAGGATAATGTTATAAAAATTAATAGGATTGGTGATAGAATTATAGCTTTAAAGATTGTTGTTGAGGATAAGATTGTTAATATTATAAGTGCTTATGCTCCTCAGATAGGTTTGGATATAAGTTCTAAATTAAATCATGTAGCCGACCCCACGTAGTGGGATAAAGGCTTGATGTTGTTGTTGTTGTATGATTTTTTTTTGTAATTTTTGGAATCCCTAAAAGAATTTTTTTGAATTTTCTATTGAAAATTAATAATAATTATTATTATTATATATTATTTATTTAATAATAAAAAATTAGAAAATATCTAAGAGCATTATAAAGTTTTATAAATTCCATTTCATCCAAACGTTTAACAGAGAAAGGATAAAGGAAAACTTAAGAGAACGTGAGGAGAGAGAATACCAAAACCTAGTTTTGGGCGACTTCGGACTATTTTTGTCCATCGACGCAGTTGGGAAAGTTGTTCGTCTCGAGTTAAGGCACATAATGCCCATCTCAACTTTAAAAAATGTGTAAGTTTTAGAAAATATTTTGATTAAAATTTTATATCCGTTAGCAAAAAATGGCGATAACTTTGCACCGGTAGAACTTTCACCCCGCAACTTTTTATATGTTGTAGAGATTATGATTATGCACATTTTGAATATTTTCTTAAAATTTTTCACAGGGGTTTAGAAATTTGCGGGGTTTTTATTGAATAAAAAATTATCGGGATGTTGAAAAATAGTATTGTAGTACAATAAAAGTCTTAAAATAATGTTTTTCACAATCTCAGGTAATTTGGTAATTTTCTAAAAATGTGTATTTTTGCCTCGTTGGATTTTCTGTTATCCACCGTTATACAATATTGTGACCTTTTGATATATGCTCAATTACTCTTTAATTGTTATAATGTGATGATATATGTGCATATGTGATTAAATTATATCTGTTTCGAGTCATAAGGGGTAAGAATCCTTTGAGCTTTTGTGTGTTAGGGAATTTATGGGAGTTATAAGGGGCCAAAATCCTTTGCGATTCCGTCTAACACTAGATATCTGATATATTCGGTGCTGTAAACACAAATAAAAAGGGAGTCATAAGGGGTCAGAATCCTTTAAGATTCTGCTGGGTCCGAAAATGTGATATGAACAACTCTATGATATGAATTCCAATTTATTCATTTGTTATGTACTGTTATTTGAATGAGAGAATAATTGTTATGCATTTATTACATTTTCCAGTTTTGTGATTCTCAATTCAGTGATTTATTTAAACTGTAATGAACTGCTATTAAATTTTTAGTAAAATATTTGAAATAAAAGAATATTTGAAAATTTAGAATGGTTTATATAGCTTGCTGGTTGTAGGTCACTGTGGGTTTACTTCTGATTTTTCAGGATCTCGTAAGGAGAAAAGGTTTGGACTAGCAGTTCAGGACCAGACCTGATGTCATAGGTATTTTGCTATTTTGATTTTTGTATATTCATGGCTAGTTAAATTTTTAATTCTGTAGCTCTTGTCTGTAGTTATGTACTGTATTGTATATATTTATTTTAATAAATGAAAGAAACTTTATGGATGAGTTTTTCAGTATTTGGATATTTTAGCAGCTTTGTAGTTTATCATTTATTTCAATGAATATTGGCAGAAAATCTTAAAATAATTCCAAAACTAGATCTTGGGATTTGCTTGTCACAACTTAACATGATAGGACTTGTCCTGATCGGGTTGGGTTGTGACATTGAGTTGGTCTTCAATGGCGGCCCATGGTTTGTCAATGGCTAGCTATTCATCTTCAAAAAGGGGTCTCCAGGATTCAAGTCCATAAAGGAAAATTTTAAGGATAATCCTATATGGGTTAAACTTTCTAATCTTCCTTTTGATCATTGTAATGAGAATAGTATTTCAAAATCACAAGAAAAATTGAGGAGCCCTTAACCTTCCCTCTGGCTCCTCAATCCCAAACAATATACACCCCCCTCTCCCCCGAATAGGTGTAAAAGCTCAATCAATGTTGCAAAGCTTTCTAGTCAGGATCCTACGAGGCCCTGTAGTCGAGATCTTAGTAATTAGATGTCATGTTTTTTTAGAAATATTATATCATATTTTAACCTTCCCTCATGCGGCTAAATCCAAAACAATGTGCCCCTCCACCCCCTTCTCAAACCACTAAAGCACTTGCATCTCATCCCCCTTCAAAGAGCTACAAGCAAAACCTCTATTAATCTTTCTCTAACATCCACTACCATTTTCTCTCTTAACCCAACCAATATTCTCAAGGAAACATTTAACCCTAATCAAGTAACCTCTACCATTCCCCCCAAAAGAATGAAATATTGACAATAAAATCCCTCCTCTTTAAAGTAAGTATTGTTTATGACTTAATTAACAACTAGAAATGTGAGAGGTTTTCATGGGAGCATGCATGTTCATCATTGCAACTAATTTTTTACTCTGAGAATGTATTGACATTATTACTCTTCTAGAAGCTTAAGTCAACTTTTATCCCTCTCTTGACCTTTTTGTTATGAGGAAGTTCCAACTCTTTCAAAATGAAGGGAATTGTAAGAACTTTAATATTTATTTTAGTGGCAGATTCTGGATCAAATGGGATTATGCAAAGGCTAATTTTTTGTTCTTCTTGCTCAACCATAATTCATCTTTGATTTTCTTCAATATTCACCCACTAACAAGTTCAACATTTCTTCTTCTTTTTTAATATAAAAAATGGTGTTTAAAAAGGAAAGCTCTTTGAGATGCTATCTTTGCTATGGCTGGTCAAATTTATAACCCATGGTTTATTCTTGAGGACTTTAATTGTATTGACAATCCAATGAAAAATCAAGGGGTTTCCATATATCAAAATGTTGGACTTTAATGTACACACTCAAGGCTAACTTTAGGAGCTCCCCAACAAAAGTCTCATTTCATAATTGGTTCAACCACCAAATTGACACTCTCATAAGATGTATTCTCAACAGGTCCTTATGTAACTTGACATGGTTGTATGCTTTTACTCTAACATACAACAAGATTTGCTCACCCTTCTCCTCTGATCACTCATAGTTGTCGATGAAATTGGGCCTCTCTTGCCCTTCCAACCATAAATTCATCTATAAAAATTACTAGAATTAGGTGGATGACTACCATAATTTGATTAACAATGCTTGGAATTCAACTATTTATGCTAAACTATGTTTGCTTCTTGTAAAAAAAAATGAATAGTGTCGAGATCAAATTAAAAAAAATAGAAATTGAGAATCCTCCACTGTTGCCCAACTCTAAATTGAAAAGAAACCCAAGATGCTATTCTTCAACTTCCAAAATCTCAAACTCTTGGCAAAGTTCTATTACACAAGGTTTTCATTATTCAATGAAATCTTATTAAAGCCATGACTATGAAATTTAAATTGATTAAACAGTATAGTAAATATGCTTGGATTGGGTTTAAAAAAGTGCTTAATTCCACTACTGTATATAGTTTATCAATATTTTTTTTTTGAATTTTGCTCTTATGTAATTATTTTTCCTAATCTCTTTAGGTCTTTTTGCATTTAGGATCTTCTTGTAATTGTTTCTTGTTATATATCAACAAAGCCGAACATAGCACTCAAAATTCTCTAAAAAAACAAAAACAAAAACACACGCACATATTAAAACAAAATACTCAACTTTTTTTTTTTTAGGGGTTGGTGAGGACATTTAGACGAATTAAGATAAATTCACACACACGTTACATACCTAAGACCTCTTAGTTGACAGCCAAAACATCCAATCAACAGATCAAGATGAGTTGCATAAATACTTTACATACATATGAACTAAACTTTCCAGTTTAAATAAAATTCTATAAAACATTCACAAACTATAAACTCGCCCATCTTCTCCGAATGAGAAAAGGATCTAAAATAGTCCATTAACTTTCTATGAAAGATCAAAATAGCCATCAACTATATTAACTGTTTATTTTGATCCTCAACTCCTTAAATAGAAACCAAAATAATCTCACCATAAGACTAATTTAATTCCTTTTAAACACTTGAAAAACCAAAACGATCTATTAAATAATTAGTTACATTCTAATCTTTCATACAAAGTTAAGAGACAATTTTGATCATTTTCAACCAGCTGAACATTATTGAAACAATATGCCTTAAACTTTCCAGTTCAAACAAAATCTGAACTTTCTTTCCCATCTACTCCTTGGCAACTACAACCAACTGCTTCCCAACATTTCGGCCGAAGAAAAGACCTACCAAGGCGCTGGGCGCTTTCTCAAGCCCCTCCACAACATCCTCCACATACGTGATTGTTCCATCCTTTATATGAGCTACAGTGAACTCGAAGAACTCGGCATACTTATCGATATGATCGAAGAGGATGAAGCCTTCGAACCGAATGCGCTTCGTGATGATGAAGATCAGGTTGCGGACGCCTTCGGGCTTCTCAAGATTGTACTGCGAAATCATGCCGCAGGCTGAAATGCGGCCATGGACCCTCATGTTGGGAAGAACAGCATCCAGCGTTGCACCGCCTACGTTCTCGAAGTAGATGTCGATGCCTTGAGGAAAACGTCTGTAGAAGAAATAAAATAGTTTAGGGTTTGAATCATGATGGGTACAAATTGAAAGCAGAAATTTTGATTGGTGGACTGTTTGATTCTAATCAATGGATGCAACGATGGAGAAATACTTTTTGAATTTGAATGTAGAGTGGCATAGTGCCCAGTCTTTACTGTATATAAAAAAAATTAGGATGGCAAGTGTTTACTATCAAATCATTTTGAATGAATTTGAGACCAACAAATCTATAAATCTTAATAAGAATTCTTGATTACATGTAT